CAGGATAAATCACAAGATTCACAAGTTATCCAACAACTTGAATATTGCAGCACTACTTGCATTTGTCGCCAAGCATGCACATAAAAAAGTCTTTGATGATTGGTTCATGCTGTCACTGGACGAATTCAAGCAAATTAAGCATCTCATCCATGTCTGTATATCCATTTGCTTGAGAAAAGTAAAGTTGTGTAAGACAAGACATTAACCCTGCCTTCAGGGACTTTGCCATTTTAGTTTGGAATGCATTAACAAAGGACTTTTAGCTTTTAAAGAGCTAACTATTCTTTTATGTAAAATAGCCAAAACTTTTTAAGTAATTGTTATAATCAAATAATATTGCAATCCAACTGTCACAATACAATTACTAGATGACATTTCTCTGCCTAAATCACCATAGGGAAAATGATCAACATCTATAAAGCTGAAGGAAAAATAGCTTTTGTCCGATTCTCATTTCTTACGGGCAGCTGCCCTGTTGACCTGGAACCAACTTCTCCTTTTCCCAAGAGACCTCTTCGGGACACTTCGTCCTTTTCTCCAGCGTTAGACGTGACTCTGTAATGGAGAAAATGAGGCTTTGTCTCCTTTAGTCTCTGACAGATACCCATCCTTCACAGTAAGGAAAACATAAATAGGTTTCTTTTAGTTCAGGGGAACTATTAAATTTCATAATACTTATGCTTTTTCAATAGAACTCTAAAAATCAGAAATACGGGAAATAAGAGAAAGGGATGAAGAGGTATAAACTTCTAATTATGAAATAAAAAGTCATGGGGATGAAAACTACAGCACAGGGAATATAGTCAACAATATTATAATGACTTTGCCTGGTGACAGATGGTAACTGCATTTACTGTGGGTGAAAATTTTGTAATGTACGCAATTGTTGAATCACTGTGTTGTACACCTGAAACCAAAATAATATTGTACATTAACTATACTTCAATAAACAAATGAAATATATATATATATATGTAATTATAAAATAAGACAGAAAATGTCCTTAATTGTAGTTGTGCTCTCCACATAGGCTCAAGACAGAAGGCCAGGTTTATTGGATAAAAGTTGGGTTACAGGGATTATAGGAGGGAAAATTAAAGATAGCCAGTAAATGTCCAATACAACCATTGAGAATAAACTGGGTTAGTCTCTGAAAGTGTGTGTCCTTTTTACCCACTACCTTGGAATATTCGTGAAACACAAGCAAAATTTTATTAGGCATAGTAGTGATGTCATCAAATGTCATGTAGGGTCTGGAAACTCTGCCATACATTCTCAAGAAAGTGAGAACATGGAAGGACAATATTTTAGTAATATCCTAAAGGTAGTTTGACCTGTGCGTCTCAGGGCCCCAGCCATAGGGGTCACGTGGCCTTTTCAGGCGGGGTCCCTGACACTACCTTGAACTGTGAACACCTCTGGGTTGGAGCAGTGATAGTTGTAGTAACATAAAAAAAAAATTAAACCTAAGTAATTTTGCACAATTGAAGTTTGTTTCTTGCTTGTGGAGTCTAATCAGTGTCAACGGAGAGCTGTGTGAGACAGGGATTCATTTGGGAACCCAAACCGATGGAATTCCACATTATCACTGTGTGCCCCCCAGGCTGACCCCAGGAGGGAATGAGGGAGTGGAGTATTTCTTCAAGAAGTTTCTATGAACTCATGCTTCAAATGAAGTTCACCCATTTTGTCCACATTACACTGGGCAGAACTCAGTTACACGGCTGTCCACAGTCACAGAGGGCAGTGGGCAACAGTCCGCCATGCACCCCTGCGGAGGAAGCCCTCCTGTGGTAAACGGCGCGCCTCATTAGGTAATTTCCTGTGAGAACGTCTGCATCGGAAAGGTCTGTAGGTATAAAGTATTGTAAATACACCAACAATACAGGAAAATCAACTTGGTGTACAACTGTGTTTCTTACATATACAGAGAAATATGTTAAATCCAGTACGACTGATGGTGATAGTGGGCTTGGACCCACTATGTGCCCGCAGGATCCTGGGTCCTGGGGAGAGAGGAGCAGCAGACATCCGGTCCCTTAAAGAGCGGGCTTTGTTACAGTCTAGCAGGAGGGGTGGCCAGTCAAAGGTAAACAGTAGCAACCCAGTCATGAATTGTAAGGAAAGAAACTGGAAAGGGAGACAGTGGGAGACGATGCTCCTCCGATGGAGACGGTCACAAGGAAGGCCTTTCGGAGAAGACGACCGAGCCCTGAGCTGAAGAACGGGAGAGATGAGGCCTAAGACCCAGACAGCAGAGCGAGTTCAGAGTCTGCAGACAGGAGCGCTGTGGGAACAGAAAGGGTCCCTGGGACTTGAGAGGAGAGCGGAGACCACCAGCGTGGGTATTTCAGGCCATGTGGTCAGGGCAGGGACACGGAGGGCATTGCCATCCATTAAAAAGGCCTGTTTTTATCCCAAGGGCAGTGGGAAGGCAGGTGAGTATCATGATTTGATTTATATTTCAACAGTGTATCCAGGTTGCTTAGTGGGGGACAGAGTGGGGAGATCTAAGTGGGAGACAGCTTATTAAGTTCATTGTGCCTCTGCGTAATGATTTATGGCATTGCCCCAGACAACCCGGGATGGCAATCAATCTTAATATTCTTAAATTCGATGTCTTGTTTTTGAATTATTGGGTTTATTTTCTGTTTTTGCAAGTCATAGGGGCCATCTATTATTGGGATTGTGGTATAACTGATGTCTAATTCAACTGGAATTAGAGAAACAGTTTTTTCCTGAAGTTTTTTTTTTTTTAAACCATCAGTGCTTTCAGCATTAATACAAAGACAAAAATAAATTTTCAATTCCAAGAACTGGCATTTCTTTCAGGGTTGTCTGGCATGAGCTATAAAAATGATAAATGTTAGCCTTCAAACTGGAAAATAGAATACCGACTACATTTCCACAAGAGTCATAGGAACAGCTACACAAGGCTGCAACATTCTAATCACAAAGGAGATAGTGAGTAGTAATAATGACTGTTACTAAAGCATCATGCAAAATAGTGAAGAGGATATAATGAATGGATAGTAAAGAATCTGGATAACCGAGGTGGGCAAGCTTGATGAAAGCAAGGAGAACCACAGACGGGTCTCTTGGGTCCCAATAAAACTGCTTATGTGCAGAAACCGATCTGAGCACATCTGCACAGAACATACATCCTTCCTCATATGCACTAGTATTCAATATAGCCAGTGATTTAGATGAAGGAAAGTACCCTTTCCAATGGTATCTGGATCCAAATTAACTCTGTTGCCTTCGTCTCTGCTTTTTTCATGGAAATTGCACATAGGCACCTCTTTCTTTTTCCAAGAAGGTAAAACTGGTTACAAAACAATTATGCAAATGAATGTGCATCTAGATTCAAAATGTATTAGCACATTCTAATCGTGTCCTGTAATAAAGTGAGTGTAAGTAGCTGGTATCATTGCATTGCAACAGGGTGACCCAGGCCTTTCAGTTTCAACAGAAGGACACATCCCTGTTGAACAGAATTAAAACGGAAACAAACGTAATGATGATAGGTACACTGACCCAATAGCTTGCACATGTGGGCTAGTGTGACCAAGCAAGCAGACACAGAAAGATGCATGCTTAGAGTCACCTTATATATTAAGCACATGGATACTCACACGGACATAAGCACACACAGTCTTAATATCCAGAACTACTTGCTCCAGAAAGAACACGGCCCTTTCCTATTTCAGTCTTAGATCGTTGTTGAGCAGTATAGCTCACAAAATATTTCTAACTTTATTTTTAATTTATAGCCAATTCCATAGTAGGAAAAAGAAACTGAATTTCACAGTCATCTTTTAAATTGGAAACAGTGTGTCTCCAAGTATAAATCATAGCCATTGATGCCTTCACCCATAAATAAAAGAAAACCCAATTCAAAGTAACTGAGCCTGTAGGGACATATGCTTTTTTCAAAAAGCAAGAAGCCAAGAGAAGTGGGAGTCCCGGAGAGTCAAGGAGCGCCCCAGCTCTCTCTGTAGGGATTTGTGGCTCTCTGTGTTCCCGCTGCTCATGGTAAGGCAGTATTTTCTCAGATGAGCACCTGTCATCATCACAGACGGGCCACTGTGCACAACCCGAAAGGGCCCGACACAAACACAACCACACCACGAGCTGGGAAGCTGCCCAGGCCTTGTTAGTGTGTATCACCAAGGGAAACTTTCTCAGAAGCCCTCCACCAGCCTCACCTGCATGGTCCCTGGCTTCACACCCACCTCACAATCAGTTCCAGAAAGTGGAAACAAAATCCTATTTTTGGCTTAGAACTATTAGGACACTTCTGAGGCTCATGGTTGGTCAAGCACCCCCTGAGGTGCACATGTGAGTGGAGGACAGAGACGTGGACCTGGGTCGAGAGGAAGACCCACAGCGCACTGAGGAATCCTCTGGAAGCTGGCTCAGAACGGCCGAGGTTTCACATCTTCGTGCTTCCGGGATTTCCATTGAAAATTTGCGTTTCCACAGTGTGTGACGATTGGTGGATCTGGGTGAAGGGCATATGAAAGTTCTTCATCTTATGATTCTTCTGTAGGTTTGAAATTATTTCAAAATGAAAAGAATTTTAAATTCCAACAACTACAGAATCTGTTAAATCAGACAAATTGTTATATTTAGAATGGATGGAAGTTCACCCAAACCTGGAATTACCTATGGATACATTTTATAAAAACATCTCAAATTCAGCTGTGGAGTTAGAGATGAGCAAGATTTATGTTTGAGGATTAGACAAAAGAATAGCATTTGGGAGGTTTTCAGAAATGGAGGCTTCTGTACTGATAAAACCCTATAGTCATAATACTATGTTTCATAAATTAACATTTCAGCCTGAACATTTATCATGCAGTTTTTATTTAACAACTTAATTTTTCTTAATGTGTTTTTTAAGGCAGATTCCTGAATAATTTAATGGTATTACTCAACCTCATTTTCAGTAATAAATGAAGAATACAGCTAATTGTCTTTTTTTCTCAATTTTTAAGATCCTGACTTTAAGGACCTTGGTGTTTTGAAGCCATTACCAGGTTGGTAAAATAGAAATTTAGTAATGTTCAGAAGCCTTTGTTTTCTGCTGTGAAATATACTTTTGGTTTATTATTCAAGCTCCATTTTTGTATGTTTGTTGGCATTTTATTTAGCATGTGAGTTTGAGATGGGCGGTCCTGAAGGAATCGTGGAGTCTATACAGATTATGAAGGAAGGCAAAGCTTCTGCTAGCGAGGCCGTTGACTGCAAGTGGTACATCCGAGCACCCCCACGATCCAAGGTCAGTCTTAAGGTGAAACACAGACTTGCGGGTTGACCTGAGAAGTGTCTGTAATATGCATCGCCTTGAACCAGCTGGACCTGCTTAGTACGTTTCAGAGTGCCATCCTAAGCTGTCTTTCTATTTTGGTTCTGAAGTGCAACATGTATTCCCTGCTCCTGTGTAACTCTCAGTGTCATAAATAATATAGAGAGGCTGCCAAAGAGACCATTTGATAAACCGGAACAAGAGGCTTTGATGTAACTGCCCCTCTGAAAGATGCATTGGCTTGGTACACGTAAGCTGTGGTTCTAAGAGCGACCAAACTCACGCAGCCCCTTATCTGTGGGGAAAATTGCCCAGGACTGGAGAGATCGTTTATCTCTGGCATAAATGCACCTGTGAGCGGGCAGGGGGACAGTGGGGAATATGGTACTCAACTGCCTGTCGAGCTCCCTGACTGTCGTTATGAGAAGGTATCAGTCCAGCATCACCAAGCCCTCCATTTTTGTCCATAACATGCCAGAAATCTAGATTTTGTTGATTACCTTGATTTTTCAATGCTAGCCATGAATTTTACAACCTGAAAATATTATATATATTAAATTAAGTATATTATCGACCAAAAATCAGACCCAGAATATGATTTTGGAAACAGTTCTTTAGAACAAGCATATTCTCCTGTTATGGATATATTGTAAGAAATACTGGGATGGATAGTTTTGTGCCAGTGGCTATCACAGGGATAGAATGCCAATTATTTGCTCATCTGCTTCCCTTACGGTCATCCCTCAGTTATAAAGTATAATTACAACCAAACATTACTGACTTATTAGATTTGTAGTTGACTATTGAAGTTGAAATAGTTCGTTGTTCAATTAATTGATTTAGCGACGCTATGAAGTCTTAAGCATCATGCTGGAGAAATGAGAAAAACATGCCAGTCCTGTCCTCATGTTTTCAGTTTAATTCTTAGACAAAAATGTAAGAGAGCAACCCAAGGTACAAGCCAAGATGATTGGGGTGCTTAAAAGGTACAGTAGAGTGAGGGAGACAGCCTTATACCTGGTAACGTAAGTCAACGGTGGGATAAGACAGCAGCCAGAGCGTCCCCGGGAGCTTAATGAGAAATGGTGGGTGTCAGGTAGTCACGATGGATGGGGGGCTCCAGGTAGAGTGACCTCATAACAGAGATGCTCCTTCAAGAAGTAAGGAAATTGCTTGTGACCAAATAAAGCAGGAGGATGGAGTAAAGGTCAGTCATTAAGTGAAAGGGCTGTGTAGGGGAGGAGCAGGGATTCATCCTGAGGTAATTAATTCACACCCGGAAGAGTGGGAGGCAGGTAAGTGACGTGATCAGTTTTGCATTCGGGAAAACTGTTTTTCCCTGTGACGTAAGCATAGAGGGGTTAACAGTAAAGCAGAAGACTCAGTGGGAAGCTGTCCCAATAATCCCAGTGGCTGACACCGATTTGTGGTGGGAGATGGATGGAGGGAATACTTAAGTAGATACAGTGGAATTTGGTGGCTGGATATTCAGAATGAGGGAAAAATAAGAGTCATATTTGAGGAGTTGGTATTTCGGGAAATATTTTTGCCTTTCTTCACTTGATTTTCCCAAGACCATGCCCGGCACTGCATACTGTTTGGAAGTGTGCCCCACTGGCCCCAGACTTCCGGTCATGGGATTTGGAGGCTGTGGTCAAGGCTCCAGCTTTGCTAAGTGGATGTCTCCTTGCATCTGAATAGATTTTTGGAAAATTAATTGCATTATGAAGAAAGGCAATGATCCCCTCTTTAAAAAAAAAAAAAAAGACTATTGGCGACATAAATCCCAGCCAGCACACAGATGACACCGAGCCTAACTGCAGTTTATTAGGCTCTCTTACATAATCTGTGGCTTCACCTGCAAGTGCTGTTCATTTTCCTTAAACTCCATGAATGAAAGTCTTTTTTAGATTTTTTTCGACAGGAAACATTCCAGTCACACCTCACTGCCGTACGAGCGTCTTTCTTGCCACAGCGTTTAAGAGGGTTTTGCAGCAGTATAAACACACACCGTTGTCTTCCAGCTGGGAAATAGGCTGTCTTTTGTACCATTCTGTCTGTTACAGAATTTGGCATTCTGTGACCCAAAGGGGAAGCCACCTGCAGAGCTGGACAAAGCAGGCTCTATTGTGACAGGCTTCCTCTGTTAAATTAAAGGTTAGAAGATAGAGAGTGGCTTTGAATGACTGGAGAAAAGCCTGAACCGGAGGTGACTGCCTTATGTGGGCTTTCTATTTTTCTGGAGCTCATAGCAGCTTATGACAATAGACTATCAAAGCCCAAGTTAAACTTGAAAGGGCTCCTGAAGAATATTTGAATGATAACTGGTGATTGAGACATATTGCACAATGAAAATGCTTAATAGCTTACTTGAGGTCCATAAAGATGTATATTAAGGATATATAGCTTCTCAGCCTTTTAGCAAATAGAAAAGTATCTGATATCTCCTTTGGGAATAGTAATACAGACGTCACCTTTAATTGAAATGTGATTAGTCCAGACGTCTTAGAATTTGGAATACAAGAGCTAGAATGAACACTGGCAATCAGTTACTGATGAGCGCATTTCACAGATGAGTAAGTTGAGTCAGGATAGTGAAGCTCTGAATGGGTTAACAAAAGGATGAAGAGGTACGTCTCATATGTCTGCAGAAAACACAGTCCAGCCCACGCACACTTCCGACCTGCAGAACTCAGAGACAGTACTTGGCCATTGTTTAAAGCTGCTCAGTGTGTGGTAATTTGTTCAGAGCAAGGAGAAAACTAATGCCATAGAGGAAGGGCAGCAACTATCATTGATTACAACAATTCATTTTAGGGATCTAAAGATGGAGTCTGCCCTTAATAGCTCCAAAAATGAATGAATGAATAAATAAATAAATAAAAATAAAAACTGGGATAGAAAAATGAAAATCTTAACTCTGAATAACTACCAGTGAAAATGTTAGGGTTCGGCTTTGTTTTTAAATGAAATCAGTTGTGTACTATCAGAGTTTGGACTTGAAATATTTTGGTCCTTGTCTATGCATTCCAGAAAGTCATTTTAATATTGTTACATCAGGGCTCGTTGTAGGTTGTGTGTTTTTCCAACATGTCAGAAAGAGAGAGAGTGTGATGCTCTGGTGTTCTCCAAATGCAGGAGATGCTGCTACCTCCAGATTCATGGGATGAGGTACCTGAAATTGTAAGGCCTGCCGTGCCCAGGCAGGAATAAAATGGCAACCCCAGAAGTCGAGGGCTACCTACTTTTTAGAATGTGCCTGTATTTATCAAGGGTAGTGTAGCATTGAAACCACAAACACGTTTCTCAGACTGTGTGGTGTTTTTAATTTGTATTTATCATGGAGAAAACTGTCTGGCACGTCTCAAATAATTGCTCCAAACAATGTCTGTTTTTCTGCATATCATTGTGACACGAGGAGAGAGGCCAGGTTGAATGCTGGTATTAAATGTTTGTTTGTAAATATGTTATTTAATAAAGTGTTAGCTAGATTTACTTGCTTATAAGTATACAAAAGGGATCCTGCTTTCCATATTAGTCTGATTTGGAAGACAGATATTACTTGAAATTGCTTATATGTTCTGAAGCTTCCCACGTCCTGTTCAATAAATCACTCTGTCAGCTCAAACTCTTTGGTGATTGATAAGAAAAAAGAATGCATCAAAATGATTCACAGAGAGGAGATTGTAATCTGACTATTTTGCTGGAGTTATATATGATTCTGTTTATCATTTTCTTTTCTCTTCAGCAGAGAGACTGAAGAGCTTTCTGTAGTTTTCTGCCTTAAATAAAAACATTGTCATATATATGGCATCTTCCCCTTGGTGATTTTTATGGCGCAAGCTTTAAGCTGACTAGAAATCATTGAAATCATAATATAGAAAGGACCTTTTATATGACATATATGAGAGCTACTATAGGGAGGCTTGGTCACTTTCCTAGCTAATGGCATTTGGCTTTTGCATTCACAGCTCTGCACCCAATAAAGCTAATACGCTTTAGTATGTTTTATTTCTTTTCTGAAATGATAAAAAAGAAGATAAAAATAATTGAATGCTTCTGAAATGAATATGTAAAAATCTAGTGACTGTAGTTGTTCACTTCCTCTATAAATATTATTTTAAGAATGGCCTTTAAATATAGAAGGTACTTAGACTTCATGTAAAACCGCCGATCAGTCTCATCCCACGGAAATAGGGGCACTTCCTAGACCTGTCAAATGAGAAGATAAGGGCCCAACCTGCCAGTTGCCTTTCTAGCTATAGCAATACTCTTCTTCAAAATAATCTTTTTTTAAGAAAACTTAAAATGGCCTTTTATTTCAGCAATACATATTTATTTTCTAATATCTCATTTACATCTGGATTTTCAATGTGTTTGCCAACTCTTTAGGAAAATGGAAATAATTTAACTTTGCTTGCTTATTTGTTTATTTTGTTGTCATTTAATTTCTCTAAGACTATAATGTTCTTCCTGGGCTATAATTCTGTAGGCATTAAAACAAATTATACGAAGCTGTGCAGTCTGCTGGATACCGCACAGCAAGCTGTCAGGAAGGTCTGAGTTCTGTTATCCATTACTTAAGGGATCAAGGCACTTTGAGAACATTACTTAGTTTTTCTAGGCCTTAGTTCTTTTCATTTTTAAATGGTTATAACAAGTGTCTTGGGCTTGAGAGATTAGAGTGAAATAACATTAGCATAATGTCTGAAGTTATTACCAAAAGACAATGCCAATAATAAATTAGCATATTAACTTGTGTTTGTACATGCAGTGTAAGACAGAAACTTGCAGTAATTGTTCAGACATAGTAGGACAATGAATCACTCAACCTGGAAACATCGGGCTATGAATTATCTTCTTTCTCGAATTAGCCAAAGAATCAATTATTTCCTTTCCTGTGGGCATAGTATTGGTTTCTATGACTCTGAGAACGTTGGAAAGGAGGACCTACTTTGCATCACACTCGAGGCATCTTTCCACGTCCTCTACTCAGTGATCTCTCCTGTTGACAACCATGCATATTTACATATTCTTTTGATGGTTAATAAACTATGTTGGATTTATTTATAGTATTTGGGAATATAAATATATATTTTATTTTTGTTGCATTTAACAAGTTTATGACCTTATAAGAATGCCTAGATTTTATAGAGATTTATATTTTTATTATATTTTCAGGTTGTTTACTTTTAGGATGGGGCAATGTGGTATAGTCAAAAGAATTTAAAACAAGAATTAGGGATTTTCATTCTAGTTGAGGCTCCCTTATTTGATTGGATGATTCTCCTTAAGAAGCTATTTTTTCTCCTTTGCTCTAGCTTCTTGGTAAAGGTCATCATCTGAAATATTCCACCCCTTTTTATAACTCTATGTGAAAATTTGGAAAACAATACTATTTGGTAAAAACTTGAAAGTTTGAACATTTTTATCTATGCCTTCTTGAAGTGGACATTTTGGGAATTTTCTGGATATTTTTCAGGAATGTAATATTTGGTTGGGAAGAGTAGATTCCAGATGGAGTAGGTGAGTGATATTGGACGTCTGTTACGTTCAAGTAAAGCACTGGAAATGAAGACCATGCCGGCTTTCTCAAGGCACGTGTTTTATAGGCTGTAGCAATGCAGTTAAGGTCAGCATGAAAGTAGTTGGAAAGTTGGGGATATTTGCCAACTGTAATGGGAGAGTTTGCCTAATATGACAACCTTCTCACCGAGCAAAGCTTAATAATAAACTCACGTGCTTCCTACTGTTTCTCAGTTTGGTTCCATTTCCCATGATTTGTCTGTTTTTGTTTGTCCTCAACATATGAGGATTATCTGACGTAGGGCTCCCATTTTATTTTCAGTCAGTTCCTTTTAAGTCTGAAACATACTGTCTTAATGGTTTTACATCATGGTTTAGGATTATATCATGAGCACATTGTTTTGGGAATTATTGTATAAGATTTCCCACTAAAAATAATACAATGTCATTTATTCTGTATCACGATTATTTATAGCACTTAACACAAAGCCCAGCATATTATAGGGGCCCAATCAATATTTGATGGGTACTGAACAAATGAAATCAATAAAGAAAATAGAATTTTCCAGTCTGTCACTCATTCACAGGTACATCCACTCACAAACTTGTATGGAGTGCTTAATATATGCAACACATGGCTTAATGCTTAGAATACAAAAATGCATGCATATAACTTAGCAAAAGGTATATATAAGCTGTAACTAAAGTTTAACATATACTCAAAATAGTATAGTAGTATAGAGGTTGTAGAGAATAATTCTGCCATGGTTGGGGGTAGGGCTGTGAGCATTCTTCCCTGGGTAGGTAACATTTAACTAGACCTTGAAAAATCAGGAAGTCAGTAGGCAGAAAATGCAGACTGGACACTTCATGTAGAATTAATGTCATGTATGTAAAGGATGCTATCTTTAAAAATAAGGGTGTAATGTTTGGGTAAGAAGGAAAATTTGCCAGTTTATGGGTTTTAAACATTTTTTACTGTAACCATTTGGAAGCTAGTTAAAGATTTCAGTATGATTATCAGATTTGTTTCTTAGAAATAGTAACTTTGACTGACCTGGGCTGGAACATTAGCATCTTGGGAACAGCCGGGCCAGCTGGGAAAGTGTTGCAATACTGCGGAGGTGTCAGTGGAGACACACAGCCAACTGGGTGAAGGTGAAATTTAACAAGGACCAGTGCCCCATTCACTAAAATCAGTGAAGGCAAAAGAGAAATTTATTTTAATTTGAAATAGGAAAACTTTTAAATTTAGGGCAGGCATCCTGGATATTATGGAACAGATAAAAAATGAATATAGAATGAAGAAAGAGATGGATTTTTAATTGAATGCATGTCATGTCTTTAGTTACTATTCATGCTATGTTAGTAGAAAGGTGTTTAAGAGGAAATCACCTACAGGCACTCGTGTTAAAAAAAATATAAACAGGAGAGATCTGTGTCAAGAATGCCTTCTTTACTCCAGAAACATTCCAGATAATCCTTCAGAGTGCATGGATTCTTTCTCTGTATCACCCCTCACAGTTGAGCATGGCATCTTTGTGCCCTGATTTTACAGGACACATTTCCAGCACTGGTCCTCAGGGTTTGGTTTGCCATTGTACCTCCATCCAGCACCTTTAATCGTGGCTGGGACAAAGGTTAAGGCTACAGTGTAGATACTGCTGAACTGATGGATGAGTGGACACATGACTTCTTCTCAGACTTATCTTTGGTTGAATTAATTGCATGTGATTTTTTAATGCACATTGGAACAGAGTCAAATAATATCTGCTGATCATAAAACAGTAGGTCTGAAGCAACTTCATAACTTGGAAGGATCATGGTCTGGGAGTTAGAGGGGCCTTGTGTCTCGTTTCTGATTTCTACCATCCCCATCTGAGTTTCATCATCCGAGTATGACAATAAAACTTTATAGAGTTGTTGGGGGTATTTAAGAATAACCTAGTAAGTAGATTGCAGAGAAGTTTCCACTCATTAAACCTTAACTTAATTTTTACGCATGTGGACTCAACTAAATAGTTCAACTCATTGTTAGGGTGAAAATAATCCTAGATTAGCTGCGTTTTTAAGAAAACATACTCTCCCTCAAAAATTAAGCACTGTGTTATGTGAAATAATTTAAACAAAATGAAATCAGAGTCTATCTTTTGATACCATTTCTGTTTTCCTTTGATGTTAATTCACAGTATTTATTTTCATAAATTTTAGAAGTAAATGAAAGCCGTGGAACCTTAACAGGACTATATCAAGAATATTTATAACACATTTGTGTTGATGAAAATAAAACAATGTATAAGTATGAAAACTAATAACAGATTCCAGATAAGTTATGAAAAGAAATGAGGATCACTTAGATAAAAATACTCAGCCATGGGACATGGTACATTTATGTAAACAAAGGATAGTAATATTTGAGAAAAATATTCAACGCAATTTTATCTTAGCCGTGTACCTTTACTCCCTGGTCTCTGTGTACAGGGGAGAAATCATAAGACTGATTGCAGTCAAGCCTCTCTTTCCAGACTGAGAAAGAGAAAGTTCTGGTCCTTACTGGACACTTTCATATTTTGATTCAGGGAAATGATTGTATCTTTGTTGTTGTTTTATAGATCTACTTAAGATTCTTGGACTACGAGATGCAGAATTCAAATGAATGCAAAAGGAACTTTGTGGCCGTGTATGATGGAAGCAGTTCCGTGGAGGATCTGAAAGCTAAGTTCTGTAGCACAGTGGCGAACGATGTCATGCTCCGCACAGGTCTCGGGGTGATCCGCATGTGGGCCGACGAGGGCAGTCGGAACAGCCGATTTCAGATGCTCTTCACATCCTTTCAAGAACGTAAGATTCTCTGCACTTGACTTGTCCGTCTAATGTGTCATATGATGCGAGTCTCATAAGCTGTTGATGGTGTTTAGTTCATGCCATTTGAGCACAGCCGGGCTTGCCTGAACAAGGTATTACAGTCCCTGAGACCCGCTTCCCTTCGTTTTGACCCTGTGACAGGAGAGAGCTACACATTACATGTGGATGACAGCCTTGCTTAAGACAGTTCATGCTACTCAACTGGGAAATGATGGATATTGTCTGTCTTTGGTTTAGCTCTTACGGAGCGTATGGACCTGGTGCAGCAGCTTCTCATGAAGTTTGAGTTTAAATCTTAAAAACCTGCATAAAAATATTTGGTAGGTTCGCTTTAGTAAGCTTCTCTTGAAGTCCCATTTTTTGCAAATAGGTCCAAGACTGCAGAGTCCCAGTGAAAGCAGGCAAAGAGAGAGAAGTGCTTGGGAAGAGAGTAAATAGAAAAAGTTTTAGAAACTATTTAAAATGGAACAATGGGTGATACCCGGAGCTTCGTGCAAAGCACAGCAATTTCAGAAAACGATGTTCTAACAAGTAATGAGTCATATTAATAGATATATTTGGAATGTTCTTTAGAAACCCTGAATAATTCATGTTTAATACATTTATACAAAAGAAAAATAATCCTGAAAAATTCAGCTTTAAACATCAGCACCTTGTGTTTTGAAACTATCCATTCTTAAAAGAAAGATAATAAAACATTTTTTGAAATGTCAAGGATTTCTTAATGATAGGCACAGCCGCCAATTTTCTAAAAATGCATGCATTCTAAATTCATTGGACAATTCTTTAAATAGTGAATAAATAGTTTGGGCTTTAAAATCCCCTGTAATTACCCAGTTGGATATTATCAGAAGTGCTGAATGCCCCTCAAGTCTTTCTAAGTCTTGATACCATCAGAGGGCACATGAAAAATCTCTCCCAGCATTTCGGCGGACTGAAACAGCAGGCTTTGCTATGTCTTCATTTCAGTAGCTGATCAAAATGTTAGAAGTCGTGGGTCTTCACTTCAGCAAGATATTTATTTTGGCTCCCTAAAAGTTCTTGTCATTTTCCTGACAGAATATGAAGAAATTCAGGCTACAAGGGAACGCATTTGTTGTCTTCACTGCTGATTTCTGTACCACGTCCAGTAGATGGTGCCTTTGGTGGAAGAGCGCTTTGTTCGGAGTTCTTGTGCGTCATGGTAGCACCGTAAGAACTCCTATCTGATTAAAATGACACATACACGGAAGGGCTAGCTAATGTTAGATGCTCGGATCTAGTTATTTTTAAAAAAATCACAGAAAGGCTCTGACTTTTATCCAAACCGTACCGTACAATGTAATGGGGTAAATGAAAATATGATGCTCTTATGATTTAAATATCAATTACACAATAGTATAAGACAACCCTGACTGGGGTGTTATTTCATTTAAATGAGCTAATACTTTTTTTTAAAGTAATTGACAAAAACTCTTTTAAGCACTATTAGATTTTTTTAAAGGAAAATGCAGTAAACAGCTCAAAGAAGGCAGTCTCACAGGATGTACTCTGGTGCAATACAGGTTGCACAGCCTGACCTTTCTGGGTGGTACTGACGAGGAGATTAATCAATTTCAAGAGGCTGCCCAGGATGCAAAAGCAGCTAGAATCATGAGAAAGGGCCAAGGGAGAAGAAATGTTTGCCTTAGAGATTTGTTGTGGCTCACAATGTGGTAACTACTTGAGACTTACGTTGGATGATACGGATTAATATCTGAAAAGTAAGATTAATGGTCATCAAATTAATTGTAGAGAAACATTTGCATGTTATTCAGGAAAGAATGTCTAGCTCATAGCAACTGTGATATTCCAAAACTGAGTGGATTCCCATAGAGGATATAGACTCCGGACAGAGGGTGATTCAGTCTGAAAATGGATAATCACCTGGTATGAATGGTGTAGGGGAGAGGTCTATGTTTTTGCAGGGGAGAGGGCTGGCGACTCTGAAGTCCCTTTTGATTTTAAGGTTGATTGAGTTTTATGAGTCTTTAAAATTCTGCTCATGCAGGAAATGGTGAAGTAGATGATAACATGCATATATCATTAGAAACATTTCTATTTGAGATAAAAGTTTTCGTGCATGTAAATGATCTCCGGAAATCATTCGAGTGGGTGGGCTTTTCAGTGACTAATCAGAACAGTCAGGGCATTCTTCCTCCATAGCTAGGAAGCATCTCACCTACAGGGAGGGTGGATGACCACTTTCATTTGCATGACGAGTATGTTACAATGGCTTCTGTCATGACGAGTACCAAAGCTTCGGTTGGAGCAAATTTACCCTGTGCCATGTTGCCTATGTAGTTTTGTTATGATGTTTCATTTTTTCTGCTTTGGTGGAAACTATACAGAATTCTTCTATTATATGCCTAAGATGAAAGTCATAGAGAGATGGAATGTGTGCGTACAGACTAAGGCTTTTTATATTGAAATTAATGTTTTCTGGATAAGAGATTGAAGTTTCAAAACAATAGGGAGTAGACTTCATCAATGCTGCTACTCAGAAATGGGTGGTTCTGATCATCTTATGAGGCTTCAATGAGGAAATAAGGGGACTATATTCAGGGAGTTTCAGGTTCCCTACATTGTATTGTTTTAGTTGATATTACTGGCTAAGAGAGTTTTTGCATTATATTTCTGTTGTTTTTGAAGGCAATAGATAATCAAATTATATTGCTGTGTTATATATTATGTTATGTTATGTTATGTTATGTATGTTATATTATGTTACGTTATATTAATTTCTCCAGTCTCTACTCCATGAACACCAAACTCAAATGGAGTAAAGATAAGAAATGTGAAATCAATGACCAGCTTTGTCTTAGTCAAATAATGAGACCAACTTGGTATTTTTCTTGGTTCCTACATTTGTAAGATGGTATTCCCAGCCCAATGTTGAGAGAGTGCTTAGAGCATATTCAACAATATTCTGATATCAGTCAAGCGTCTTAGGTGAAGACCATAGGGTATTTTTAGGGGTTAAAGGAGAGTAAATTTAGACCATGTATTATTTCAGTCCACCTTTTGGGAATTCAAGCAGAATAACTGGCTCTCCCTATACACCCTCATCCCCATGCCAGTGATTTAACAGCTCTGTTAGAGAATGTCACAAATCCTCTTATGGATTCTCTGCCACTTTTAGGGGATGGACAAATCTCCAATTTTCTAAAGATGGTGGTGGTGGTAAAAATGACGATTTATGCATCCCTTATATAGCTCATACTGGTCTGCCCTGTTTTACGTGCTTTACAAACTGAATGTGACTCCTCTCATCTATTGCACATGATATCTACATATTACACTTGCATGCTATACTCACAGTACACCATTTTCACATAACTATAAGCATTAGACTAAAGTAAAATTACAATGAGAGGCTTCCGCCTCTGGGGACTGATGGATGCACATAGGAATATATTTTCAGATCATCATATTTTTACATTTGTATATGAATAAATTATAGAAAAAGGGAAGAGTCTGTGTTAACACAGAGGCTGAAGAATACTTATTACAAAAATCATCAAACTTAGGTTTCATAGGAACATTGGAAGCATTTTATAAAGTCTGAGTTAAATGCCAACGTTTGCAAAAACAAAAGGTATTTTCTAATGTTCGTAATGAGAATGTAAGACCACTGAATAGAAGAAGTGTCTGCCTTCAACTGAGGCTGGAGAAATACCTCCTCCCTGGATTTTTCCCACAAATATCATACCTGTGCCTCTGCCGCCTCACTAACTCCTCACTTCTATCTGTTTTGAGCTCCGCCAGAGATTGCTGCCTCATTAATGGCATCGCCCTGCTGGTGGCAGCTGCTGAAAAAAGTTTGTTATAATGCTTTCAATACCCTAAAAGCACTTCAATGCACTTTGCACTTTTATTACTCAAAATGCTCAGTCTACTCTCAGGTGAGGTATCCAACGGGATAAGCACATATATAGGCACCCAAACAAAGACCTCAAACATTTTACATATTAATTTTGGCTTATATTCCTTAAGAAAAATGACTTATTTAATATTTAAATGTATTCTGAAACAAATAGCAAAATTTATTAACAACTACAACTCATTTGCTTTCTTAGGTCAAAAATCAGCAAATATTATGGAGACTCGGGTTCTAAACATACTTGTGGATATAGAAGAGTAAATCTAGTTTGAGATAAATAGGCAATATGTTGAATAATTCTTACCATTGATTATTGAATGTGAGCTATATTTTATTTTAACTACTCAATTTAAGAGTGCTTACTGTAATGTTTTTACATATATGCATAGCATTTTATAAAGTCATTGATTTTGCTCTAGAGAATGACCAACTTTAAATCATTTGACTATAGTTAGTATAGTTTCAATTTTGAGTCTACATAAATAGGAAAATTCATAGCCAGTCATGATGGGGCTCTGTATTTAGGTGTGGAACATACATAATGGAGAGATTAGTGAATGTGACTCTTCAAATTGAGTGACGTGCCAAACCTTCCGAGCCAGTCTCTTTCTGTGTGACATGAATCTGCAGTAACTAGAATGAATGAAAAACATAAGCAATATCTAGTTTTGACTTTTCAAATTCCACTTTCAGCGGCTCCTCTGCTTTCATCTGGAGCTCTTACATGATAAAATCTCAATCACTTAACACCTGACTATGAGTAGCATGTTTCTGCTAAAAACAGACATGTAACTAAAAAGAGATGAAAAGCAAATTGTCCACTTTATTATTTACAGTATTATGAGATATTATGTATAATAATTTGCTAAAACAAGATCATCTATTTAGTGTCATTCATTGGTGACAAAGACTGTCAATTGTAAACTATAGATTTATTCACAAAGACATATACATATGCTAACACTTAAATGCAAAGAGGAGTAGAGCTGAAGGACTCTGTGGAAGGCAGTGTTCTGATGTGAGCCAAAGGTTCACACCTCTTGGTGTAGAAGCCCCTTATGTCCCCCTCTCATTC